ACACAAGGGGGTGGAACTGAGGGGGAGGGGGGGGGGAATAATTATGGTAGCCACTCTTAGAGGTTTAAGGGTTAATCTTACCCAAATGTTGAGTTCAAAATATTGTGAACTGACACCAGCACCAGATCAGGGTCCTGAAAGACATAACAAATAAACATTTAACAACAATCATAATCCTCCAAGTTTAAAATTCTGTGAATACTAACAAAATTGTACTGTAGGATTCACGTACCAGCTGAGCAATATTGTCAAATAAGATCTTCATTTCCTTTCTATATTCCATGAACATCACTTCATCTTCACCCTGAAAGATGCGATCGTTATTTTCATCATAATGAATGAATTTTGGAAAAATATCTGATGAATGTGCATTTGAGCCTCAAATTCACACACACACTTTAATAGAATTGCATCATTGAATAAAATCTCACATTCTGATTGGTTAACAAAGTGAGGTATTTAGCATGGAATTGCAAGTTGAAAATGAGGCAAAGTGTTACTGTTTCACATCTACATAAAATTATACATAACAACCATAAGTAATGCTGTTTTCTTTTTTTTTTCCCTTCTTTTTATTCAATTATGCAATTCAAGGAAAATCTACTACTTGACTCGTGAATTCCATGTTAAATAGCACTTGAAAACCGATATCGCACTCATTGCTTTGGGATTCATGCGATATCAGTTTTGGTGCGCAATTTAATGTGCAATTCGCTCATCAAGTAATGAATTTTCCTACAAAATTGCATGAAACTCATACAATTACCTCATGATCAAAGTTGTATGATTCATCATACTTCATCTTGTTGATAATGACATGCAAAATTGCCTTAAAAAATCACACACAAGAACACCAGTCAGACTTACAATATTACTTGCAAAAACTATAGTTAAAGCTTCTTTGAAAGTAAGGCTGGATTGACACAATCAATAGAAGCAGTACATGCATTTTCTTTGCCTTTGTCTCCCAACTCTTGATATATGGTAGAGCCCTGCTAGCTTGAACTCGCAGAAGAAACCAAAAATGGTTTGATAGTCTATGAGTTAGCTGATAGTAAATGACAGAAATGATGGCTCAAGGAAAATCAAATCTTGTTCGAGTTATGCAGGAGTTCAAGTTAACCAAGTTTGAGTTATCAGGGTTCCACTGTTATGCTCTAAGTTGAGTTCACTTTATTCATTGATCACAAATGCAAACATTACCGACCAAAGGGTGTCTGCATCCTACCTTATAAAAGCTTGAAAATCACTTTTGAAGAATTACAATCTTACCCTCAAGTTTGCTTTCTGTTGTTCATTTGGATTTGCAATCTGTAAGAAATTTTAAGTCAATATGCACAACTTTGCAATACTGATCATTGTCATTAAGAAACTCGCTTGAATGGCCAGTAACTGACCAACATCTAGCAGTATCCACAAAGTAATTACACTGATAATTGCTACAGCTATGCATCATAAAAAAAAATTTGTACAGCAAAATGCTGCATGTTCTGATGAGGAATCAAGCATCAAAGCTAAGGTAATTGGGTAGTTGAGACTCCACTCTGTCAAGAAAATGCTACCCTGCAGGCAGGCCCTCATAATGCTACAAGATGTTTGTCTCTTTGCCTGTGATAAGATTTGAGGTAAGTTAGGGAGAGGTTTGCTGGAGGTCTGACACTAATTATCCGAGCTGGATCCCTTATAGACCTCTTGCCAGCTTGCATTGCTCAAGACCTTGCACTTGCCCCCCCTGCCACCAAATTCTTGCAAGTGAAGAAACACTCATGCCAAAGTGCCCACAATGAGAGCATGCTTGCAGGCTCAGGAAAAGCAGTTATTAAAAATTATAAGCCCACCTCACAAGTTATCAAATGCCAAACAGACACTGGTCAGGAGTACAGCCTCCACCCCCACCCCCACCCCTTGAAATGCCTGCTTATACTCACATGTTTCCAGTCAAATTACCTGCTTCAGGACGGTCAAGTAAGCGTATCCAAATCCAGACACATTCTGAGACACATCATCATCATCATGACTAAGAAATCTGCAAAGAAAGAACTGATAATTAACCCTTTAACACCCAAGATCTGACAATTAATTCTCCCCTCTAGCTTGTAAATTGGTAACAACAATTTGGTGTTCAATCAAGGTAACAACAACTGTAACCTGATAGGCTTGAGTATTCTCACTACCTGTTTTCTAAGTAATGTATAGATATTATAGGGAGAAGTTACATGTTTATCACTCCTGGGAGCTAAAGGGTTAATGCAGCAAAACAAATGAAGACTCTGAAGACTAAAATGAACCACAGGTCAGTCTTGTTTAAAACATAAATTCTTAAAGAATCTTTATGCCGTGGTTACCACAAAGATGTTTTTCACAAGGGAGGGGTGCCCATGGAGTGTTCTTGTACTCCACAGAACCTTCTTCCACCCATGAGTAGGGAGAGTACAATAGTGAGCTGTCAGAGATGGCTGACAAAATCCTGAGATGGCATGAAATAGCACCAACTTCAGGCCCAGAGTACAATTCATATAAATATTTCATTGTGTAGCATTACTGAGTATTTTTACAAGTTGTGTCGCATTTTGACGTTCCCGTAGGGTGAGTCAAAATACAAACAACAAGTAAAAATACTCAGTAATACTATACAACAAAACAGTTGATAAGAGAATTATTATCCAACATGCTAAACTGTTATTTTAGTGTGAATGAATTTCACAGCTATTTATTTATGGGGGAGTGCATGACAGAAGTATGCAAAGTGGAACAGAATTGGTGTGTTGTCATGTTGCTGGTTCTAATTTCTTCAATACATGCTGCAATTTTATGGTTGTCTAACTGCTTTTCTTTGTTCAATTTATCTAATAAACTTGGATCAATATTCGCCAGCCATTCCAACTCTTTGTTGTCAGAAAAATCATCTGAATTGTCCTAAACAGTGTTTAACCAGTTCTCTGGAGTACAAATACTGCAAGATATTTGTACTTGTTTTGGGCATTATTTGTACTCTACAAAGCACAGTTGAATAATAAATAAGTTATTTGCTGCTTCTACATAAACACTGTGATTAATATGTATAATTATTTCTATGCTAGTTGCATAGTATTTTTCCCAGCTCCAGGACTAGAACCAGTTCTGCCTTTTTGTTCCCCTGTCCTACAGTGTATTACTATGGTATATTTTGAGCATTCCCTTGCCCTAATATATATATAATTATGTTGAAAAAGTGTAATGGTGGAGTAATAATACTTTTATTTACCAGTGTTAGCGACATTACTTGCAGGGTTGACAAGCAGCACAGCACCCGGACAATCAGACTACACCTTCACATGTTACCCCCGGGTTCAAGCCATTTACTGCAGCACAGCAATAGTTACTCACCTAAACAAGTATTGCATCTTCTCCTCAGCGGCATGGAGGCACTTTGCTGCTGCTTCTGTATCACCAGATTTTGTAAGCCTGAAAAAGAAGGAGGACCCTCTATAATTACACAAACCTACCCAAGAGTACACTACCAAACAGGGATCAAGAAAAGATAAAAGCAAAGTGGTCCTCTGAGGAGAACCACAAGATGCTTGAAGGCTCTTGTCTTGTAAATCTGGGGAGCTTAACTTTTAAAGGGGCTCTTTAATAAAAGCAAAGTCACACCAGTTTATTAAAGCAAATGTTGGTCATTTATGGCACCAAGCTCTACAGAAGCATGGCACTATAATAAGAACTACAGCTAAAAAGGGAGACAAATGAAAGAAAAAAAAGCCAGACAGAGAGCAGAAAACTGACTAATGGGTAGGAGACCCATAAGACATGTTTAAAGTTATTTGTAAAAGTTATTGGTTAGAAAAACGAGTGGAAAAGGGAGGAGGAAAATAGCGTAAAATTAGGGGAAAGACAAAAAGAAAGAAGAGCACCCAATGATGTTGTCTTGTTCTGCTTTTGAACAGTTGTTTCTTACTTGCTGTAGCTGTTAAGAAGTTGTGTTCCCACAGCATTCATCAATTTTGACACTTTAGCTAAAAAATCAGCATCTTCATCCTAAAACATAAACAGAACACTTTTTGCAAAAGATGTTGAGAATTCTTAGAATGTACACAAGACATCCAACATTAGAGAATTCTCAGGCTACACAATTTTCCCCAAAGGTTATTTGATAAAAGAGTTGTTAGTAAGACTTAACCCTTCAGTGAATAAATATATCTTATTAGACATTTTGTTGGGTAGCATGACTAAGAATTTTTACAAGTTGTGCCATACTTAAAATAAAAACATCAAGTAAAAATACTCAGTGATACTACATAGCAAAACATCTTATAAGAGATTTAATATCCAACACACCAAATTGTTACTTCAGTGCCCGCAAATTTTGCAGATATTTCTTGAGTACAAATATTATAGTTATAGTTCACCACTAAATTTTCTAAGATTCTTATTGGTTTACATTGATCACGCGATGCAATAGTGTTCATCCGTGGAGAGACACTATCAGCCCATGGTGCCCATTTGCAGAAAATACCTGGATGGATAGTGCTCATCCATGAAAAATTTTGAATGGTTTGATGGCCACGAAGTTAGGCAGATCAGAAAAACAGTGACTTTTCAATTCTGAGAGGTATAATTTATTATTTAGTCAATGTACAGTTGTGAATTATTGACATTTTTAACAGACTGTACACATGAATAAATATTTGACTGATCTGCATTTAGTGGGTTTTGACTGTTTTTCAACTGGCACATGGAAGAAAATTTAGTGGTGAACAATACAGACAATAGAGTGTTTGTAGCTCCGAACTATCCGTCTGATAGTTGCCCCTTGGAAATTTGATGTTCTTAAAACTAGCATAATTGCCCTTGAAGTTTTGCTTCTCAGGCAAATATTATTTGTTTTAAGAACATCAAATTTCCATGGGGCAACTATCAGCTGATAGTTCCTCGACAGAAACACTCTATTGTTTAAATACTTGATTTATAATCCAACATACCAAATTGTTATTTCAGTGTAGGCAAATTTCGTGACTATTTGTGGGGTACAAATATCACTAGCTATTTGTACTTGTCTCGTGCATTATTTGAACTCTATGAAGCACAGTTGGATATTATGTCATAAATAATATCATCAAATGTTAGCTGAGTACCTCTTGCAGCTGAAGGATTCCACTTTTCTCTAAAACACTGACAAGAGACTCAACCAGTTCCCGTTTCGCCACTGGCTCCATTCCCTTCATGATGACCTCATGGATACAATCGCAAGCACTCTCACGGAGGACTTCCACTGACATGTATCTGAGAAGTGCACTAGGAAATAACAATACATACAAAGTTCAGTAGTTAAATCAAAACGATGCACATGGGCGGGACACCCCCTTTTCCATCTAATAGCAGTTCATCGTCCCTCTCTTGTTCCCCCCCCCCCAAATTGTTGATACTCATTTTATACCTCTTATGGCTCTGCGCTCATTGCAACTTGCTAACCTTACAACATAATATGGTCACCACAAATTCTGTATTGGTCACAATCTTTTACAGGAGAGAAAATGACAACCCCATCGATAGTATTGTACTGTAATATATACAATAAAATTTAATGATCACTTCACTTAACCCTTGAGAGTGACTAGCATATAATTTCTCCTTAAAATGTAACCCCTGAATAACACATTGAGGTCACAAGAAAAAAGGAAAAGATCATCAACTGAAGGAGCTCTTGATTGTTAAACAAATTCTCCTTGTCAGCACTTTAGGGAATGTATAGAGAACAGTATGGAGAATATGCATACTGATGTTAGGGGGTAAAGGGTTAAGGGGGGGGACAGAGGGGGGGTTGATTACCCTTCGTCATCAAACAGACCCCTGGAGTTACCCTTCTCACCTTATAAATCTATCATTTGCTATCAAGCCAATGTCAATCCATTCAATATAAGCTCCAATAACATCCAGGCATAAGCATGTCAGTGATGATAAACTGTTCTCGTAGGTATTCTGAGAATAAAAAGCTCAGATTGGTTAAGGTAAAAAAAAGAAAGGTTGTCAATGACTTATTTCAGTTGTTGTCACATCACAGTTGTCCCATCCTGACTCAAAATCGCAGAATGGTTGGCAGAAATAACATTTAGTCAACAGTGGCGAGCAGTCCTTTTTGATGGCTTATGCCACATCTCAAGAGGAGAAAGAGGTAAGAATGGAGCATTTGTAATATTTTATGACAATGTTTGCCTCACTGTAACTTGAAGTCATACAAATAAAAGAATGAATGATTTAGCCACTTTTGCTAAATATCTGGGCGCCAACATTTATTTCTGCTTGCCATGGAGACCAAATTTGTTCTTTCTTTAGGAGAAACCCAGGAAACCATAAAATTGATGGTCAGCCTATATTTCGCAGCCTTTGTCAACCAATTCCTTCTAAAGCCATACACTTAGATGTGTAATATACAGTAAGAGTGTCTGATTCAGTGATTGGTGATTCCATCCACTGTTCTGTTAAGACGTCAAGTCATGTTATGTTGTAAAAAAAAAAAAAAAAAGAAAACATACCAAGATATGATACCAAGAATCTACAAGATCTGTGATGCAGGTGTCTCTGATTGTATCTTTGATCTTCATGTTTCTCTCTGCATCCTGTGAAAAAAAAGAAAAAAAAGAGAAATATTTTTGAAGGAAAATTCATTTACTTGAAGGGGGAATCCTGCATTAAATAGCACGCAAAAACCAATATTGCACCAATCGTGAATTCAAAAGTCAGGTAACGGATTTTCCTTCAATAGCATAACTGAATAAAAATAAGAGAAAAAGAAAACAGCAATAATAGTTTGTTTTTATCCTGAGCATGAAACAATATCACTTAGCCTCATTTTCAATTCATGATTCCATACTAAAATTAATACCTCGCTTCATTAACCAATCCGAATGCAAGATTTTAATCAATTATGCAATTTATATTTGAATTTGAACTGATTATCACTACATTTGGACAAGCACACACCTGCTGATTTCTTATGACATCTCTGTCAACTACTTCCTCATCAATTGCTTTCAAAATTCTCAGGTACATGTCTACTGCTTGGGCACCAAACTGCAAGCACTGGAGAAGGTCTGAGAAAAATGTTGGCCACTGAAAAAAAGTTAAAAAGTACACATGTGAACTTTAGAATAGGAGGGACTTCAACACAGCAATATACCAGGAACTTGTACAGAAGTAAAACGTGCCAATTGAGTAATTTTTAATTGCAGATGGAGAAATTATGCTGAGCTCTCAAGTCTCATGCATTAAGCAGGAGGGTCACACAAACAAATTCAGTCTTGCGCTCTCATGCTGAAAAGTACGATTTCTCAAGCATTCAAAAAGATTTCTGATTAAAACTGTTGATTTGAGATGGCTTTTACTTTAGTAAATTAACTATAAAATCATATCTTTCTAGATACACTTTACCCTGTTCAATTAAGCTAGTTCTAAACCCTTTCGAACTGTGGAATTAATAGGGAGCTTTAGCAACAACGACGGCAACGGCAACGAGAACGGCAGAAAACAATAGGCCTAATGAGCAAAAACAATCACCCTGCACATGCATTTAACATTTTGATGCATTTCTTTGCCATTCTTCGCAAAACAACGTGAAATAACCAAACTTTAGGTTTTCTCGAGAACATGAGCACATGACGGTTAATTTTTCTTTCTTTCTCCTTACTTTAACTCCATTCGTAGTGATATACTAGTCCCTGAATAGTTCGCCTGCATTTTCCAAGTGAAACACATCGGAATAACCTCGAAAGAGTTACAAAATTAACAAAGATTTAGTAATACATAGACAGGTAAAAATGAACGATATAATATCCCGACGTTTCGGCGACTTCATGACACCATTATCAAGGATACGAATGAAAATAAACAAATGCGAGTTGAATTAGTTGTAACTCTTGAACTCGCATTTGTTTATTTTCATTCGTACCCTTGATAATGGCGTCATGAAGTCGCCAAAACGTCGGGATATTATATCGTTCGTTTCTACCTGTCTAAGAGTTACAAAAATGAAAAGCTAGATTTCAACACGATGTTTTCGTTGACGCCGTTGCCGTCATCGTTGCTAAAGCTCCCTATTATTGTGTGGGGCACTGTTATACAGGTCAGTACATTTAACCTCTAACTCACTTAAACGACCAAGACAGAATTAGTTTCTTCTAACAATATCAGTACAAAATATTTGGTTCTTGGTCATGACACATGTACTTCACTGCCTTTGTCCATACCTCATGACCTCAACCAAAATAATTTCCTGTACGGCCCTCGTGCTTGGTTCTTGGTTAATAAGATATATGGACTGCCCTCCCACTACGTCAATAAGTACATTATTATCTAGTTACTTACCCCTTCAGGATAATCACGCACAAAGATCAAACTGAACACTTGAGCAGCCTTATTCTTTAAAAAGTTTTTATCATCTGTTTTACTGCAACACTACAAAACACAAGCATAAGCTCACTCACAGTTCTTAATCCTTTGACCCTAAGAATGACCAGCATCTAATTTCGCCTTTTATAGTAACACTGTTAAATCAATCATTATGATCACGACAATAGAGGAAATGATCTCAACCCTAAGAAGATTGGATAGTTTTAAACAAATTCTCCACATCAATACCAAAGGAAGTGTATAGAGAAGAACAGTGGAGAACATGGTTATACTGATGTTAGAATGTACAGAATGATGTTAGAATGATGTACAGGATGATGTTAGAATGTACTGATGTTAAAGAAGTTATGTTGTCTAATTCTGTTAGTGATCAACCTGCTCAGTCCCATTACCATTATAATTATTATCAAGAACACATCACAATGCCTTGGACCTTTCAATTTGGAGTTTTTTTGCATTTGTATTTATAGATTCATACAGTGTCAAGACGAGAGAACAATATAGGACACGTAGTCCCCTAATAATTTAACCTGGCATCTAGTTAAACATGGACTGGATTGGATTAGTAAAACACGGATTGGATTAGTAAAACATGGATCAGTAAAACATGGATAAGTAAAACATGGATTAGTAAAACATGGATTAGTAAAACATGGATAAGTAAAACATGGATTAGTAAAACATGGATTAGTAAAACATGGATTAGTAAAACATGGATTGGTAAAATAAACGCTAAATAGGGTGAGTTACATTAGTTTTTATCTTACTTTTCAACCAAATTATTTCGCACAAAATAGACAGTTTCATTCAAATACTGATGTTGCCTTGGCCCACCCACAGGTGGTTTCAATCGAAAACAACATTCCTTTACCATTGTTTTATTTACATGGAAAGTGACAGTTGTGAAAAAAACTGTGCTGACAAAAAACTGGAAGCGACTAAAACGTGACGCTTGAGTAACCGTACACGACTAAAATGTGACCCTAGACGGCCCAGAGTAACCGTTTCCTTCTTTGATTTCCTTCACTAAGATTATGCAGTGCATGGAGTGTTCTAACATTTGACTAAACCTTACTTTTGCTGCTCCGAATCTTACATTTATCAGAGCTCAGAAACGCCACAAACGCCCGCTCCACCGAAATTGATATTCTTTTCCCAATCCTAGCCAATCACATTGTACTTTCCAAATTATGGAAAGTTGACCTTGACCGCAATGTAAACTGATATTTTCCCACTCTGCATGAAACACTGAGAAAGCTTTTTGACCTCTAATAAGTGTAAGATTCAGAGCAGCAAAAGTAAGGTTTAGTCAAATGTTAGAATACTCCATGCACTGCATAATCTTAGTGAAGGAAATCAAAGAAGGAAACAGTTACTCTGGGCCGTCTAGGGTCACATTTTAGTCATGTACGGTTACTCAAGCGTCACGGTTTAGTCGCCTCCAGTTTTTTGTCAGCGCAGTTTATTTCACAACTGTCACTTTCCATGCAAATAAAACAATGGTAAAGGAATGTTGTTTTCGATTGAAACCACCTGTGGGTGGGCCAAGGCAACATCAGTATTTGAATGAAACTGTCTATTTTGTGCGAAATAATTTGGTTGAAAAGTAAGAGTGAAAAAAGTAAGATAAAATACTACTAAAAGTAAGATAAAATACTACTAAAAGTAAGATAAAATGTAACTTGCCCTATTTAGCATTCATGTTACCAATCCATGTTTTACTAATCCATGTGTTACTAATCCAATCCAATCCCTGTTTTACTAATCCAATCCAATCCATGTTTTACTAATCCCTGTTTTACCAATCCATGTTTTACTAATCCAATCCATGTTTTACTAATCCAATCCAATCCATATTTTACTAATCCATGTTTTACTAATCCATGTTTTACTAATCCATGTTTTACTAATCCAATCCAATCCATATTTTACTAATCCAATCCATGTTTCACTAATCCAATCCATGTTTTACTAAGCCAATCAAGTCCATGTTTTACTAGATGCCAATTCACCCACCTAAACCAACCCCAACCCACCCATCTCATCCCAGGGGAGGACATCCATCACACAGTAATCTCATGCGTGGGAAATTGATGTCTGCTACCCCTAACCCTGCAGGAGACGGGACCTCCATTTAATCGTCCCAATCCGAGAAGACTAGAATATCTAACCATTTCTTGATGTTATAGAAAGGTAGCATATTCTTCTCAATTATTTTAACACCTTCAGTGTTGGTCTGGCTGGGGCTCAAACCCTCAACCTCCTGCACAACAATCCAGCGCTCTCTCCATTGAGCTAACTGGGAGGCGAGTTCATCCTACAAGCCACTTGGCCACCCTATTTAACCTTTATATTAATGAACTTAAATTAGGAGAATTACAGTCACACATACCAAAATTATTTGATTTAGCACCCTAGTTTCAATATGTGCTCCCTCTCTAAGGAGTGCCCCCCTTGGATTTGCTTTTAACTGCCTCCCCGTTAGCTCAATTGGTTAGAGCGCCAAATTGTGGTGTGTGGGAGGTCGAGGGTTCGAGCCCCGGCTGGACCGATACTCATGGTCTTAAAATAAGCGAGCAGAATTTGCTACCTTTCTATAATCAAGAAATGGATACATTTTCTAGACTTCTCAGATAAGGACGAATAAACCGTAGGCCAAGTCTCCTGCAGGGTTAGGGGCAGGAGATGTTAATTTCCCACGCAAGAGATTATTGTGCTGTGGATGTCCTCCCCTGGGTTGGGATGGGTGGGAATTGGCATTGAAAAGCCCCATGGGGAGTGGTCAACTAATGTATGTATGTATATATGTATGCTTTTGTCAATAAGCACCCCTATTCTAATAAACGCCCCTGTTGCTAAAGCTCCCTCTTTCTAATAAGCATCTGTATTCTGTTTCAGTGATGGCACTGCTAGGGACCATTCCCTTCCACTACTATGCAAATATTCACTATATGTTAGTTCCTTTAAATTTACAGTTTCTACTATTAATTCTTCTTACAGAATAGATAAACATCAAAGCTTTGTTTAGCTCATCTGCTGTTTCTCAAAAAAGAAATAAGCACCCTGTCCTTATGAACCACCCTGTTTCTAATAAGTGCTCTTCCCAGAGGTACCAAAGGTAAATAAAATTTAATGCCCAGGGTGCTAAATCAAATCCTGACTGCAATCACCCAGTTTACACGAGAAAAACATACCTGATTTCTGAGCCAAGTTAAAAGGATGTTTCTTGCTGTACACTGATTTAGTGGTGAGGCTGCAGCATGGCTTTGAAGAAGAGACAAAAATAGAGCACAAACTTTTTTTATTACAGCTTTACATCAGTCAATCATTTGAAGTTAAAAGAACTGATGAATTAGGAGAAAACTTCCCTGAAAATGTGAGACTTGCAAGTTGCCGTTCATTTTTACTCTTCATTCCCAATATCTCAATGAAAATTCTGTTTAATTTCTGCCGTACACTTCTTAAGAATTTACTTCTGAGAATTTGGTGTTGGATCAAATGAAAATCCCCTAGTTAATAATTTTCTTAATTCTCATCACTTGACTGCTTAAACTCCCCGAGGTGATAAACATGAAACTTCTCCCTACAATATTCTTACATTATCCAAAAAACAACTCATGAGAATACTCAAACTTATCAGGGAGAAATTGTTGTCTTGATCCAACACCAAATTCTCTTATCTAATTTAAAAGGAAATGTGTGGCAGCTAGAGGGGAAAATTAACAAACAGATCTTGGGAATTAATGGGTTAAGCTTTATATAGTATTGGTAATCTGGTTTGCAATATCCTGACTCATACCTTGTTTTAATCTGATGCTCTAGAACTTGGAAGCAGAAGAACTTGACAGTTTCATCACTGAAAAAGAAAAAAACATTCTTTTCTTCTTCAACACTAAGCTAACTGACTCACATTCAAAGATCAGGAAGGGCTCAATGCTAATAATAGCCAACTAGCCACAGACTAGTAGAAATTCAGTTTTGGTTAGTGGTTTTCGATTCCACTTGCCAGTTTAGCAAGTAAACAAATTGAAATTGTTGTAACATCTAAGCTGTCACTAGACACTCGGCTAGCAAAGTGAAAAGTTGGTGTCGAGCCCTATCGGAACAGGTAGTTGTTGTAATAGGTTACTTAGGTACAAAATGACAAGAACAACCGAGCACTTTCTACTGGATACATGATTATAGAAACTACTGTACTTTTTTTCTTTTTTTCAATCCCAGGTCAAGAAAAAGGTTTTGCTCTAAAGGGTACCAGAAAACCTAAAGAGTTTAAATGTACATATACTGTTAGAGTTTCTTCAAAACAATTTCAATACAGTCAACGCTCTCATAAGCGAACACCCTCAGAAATTATAAAAAGTGTCTGTTAGTAAAACTGTCTGCTTAAGAGAATTACATGCCTGTGACATTATCATTCAACAGGCATGATACATACACTGTCCCATTACCCTGTCCAATCTCCAGCCAGCATGACATGTACATTTTTGTCCAATCAGTGCTCAAATCAGGCTGGTGCTAACCAATTGTATTTGAGAACTTTTTTGATAGCTTTGATCAATAATAGTAATAAGACTAAGTGGAGTCCAATTCAGGATGTAATTGTATGAGTGATTAACAAATTTTATTACATGACTCGGGCAGTCTGAGGGCCAATAACTAAAATCAACCAATCAAAAATGCTCTATTGCCAGTCAATATTCTCTCAGTATTGGACCGGGCACTTTCCCGAATGGTCCAGAATGATACCGCACTTGTGTTCCTTTGAACTTCAGTTGTATAATAAATCTCTTATTAATCAAGCTTGCTCTGGACAGTACTGGAAGAATATCGGCCCTCAGTCTTTTTTGTACAGACCTCGGGCCGATATTCTCCCAGTATGGCCCTTGCGCTTGGTTAATAAGATATATTGGATGGGTGCGAAGCGGGAGTCTAATTTGTTTATCATGAGTACGACTACAGACAGATATAGAATTGGATGACACTTAGTCCTGTTAGATATTAATAAAAAATATAGCAAAATCTAAGAAAGTAACTAGATAATGGTTATATGTTTTCAATAGAAAAAAACAACAGTTTACTTGGCAAAATATCCAATCAACAGTAAGAAAGCATAATGTACTCTGTCCACTTACACAGACATGACGTGTTAACTGTCCCTTTAAAAGTCCTGTTACACCATCAAGTTTACAAGTATGATGCATACTACTGCTCTTATTACATCCATTTCAAAATCACTGGTGGTCTCTGTAATCTGATTGGCTTTAACTGGTGCAATTTATTCAGAAATTGCACCATTTTTTGCTCTAAATCGCATCATTATATGCTTGACTGAGTTTTTGACACAACATCAAAGTCTTTCTGTTTTGCATACAAAATAAGATATGAAAGCGTTTCCGGTTCTGCGTTTTATTTAAAAACCGGCTCAGTACTGCACCAGTAAAAATATTTGAATTGACCAAGTCCTGGTTTTGGGCAATTTCAAAATAGATGTAATAAAGTAGTAACTGAACCTCATGTTGTGCAATTTTGGTCTGATATCATACTTGTGATTTCAAATCAAACTCGCGCTGTGCGCTTGTTAAATGTTGAAATCGCGTGTATGATTTCAGCCCAAATTGCACTCCACTCACTTCAAATACAATTATAAATTAAGCTGGTGATAACCACAATTATGTCCGAGAATAATTTAATAGTTTGATTAATTAAACTAAAAATTGCAAAGCCCATCCATCCCCCCTACCCCTTCACCTACCACAAATTTACATGAATGAACCCATAATGAATATAAAACTTTTTTTTTTTCCTTAATTACAGTCTGATGTAGGGCATCATATTACAATCAATTTTAGCAACAAACAACTTCTTACCTTGTTTTGGGCATATGACACCCCACATGTTGATATTCCAAGAGAATGAAATTTTCCTGGGGATATTTTTAACGTCTATCTACTTCATTAAAAATTGCAGTTTAAAGACCGCATACCTGTAAAGATTTCGAACGAGAGCATCACCGCAAAGTTTCCATCCATCTTCTGAATTTTTCAGCTGTTCAAAATATTGCAGGGTCTATAGAAAAAAAGGGAAGCAAGGTTTTGAACGAACTAGACTGAAATCTTTTCACTAGTATGAGAGAAGTTTCACGTTGAGTATGTATAAATTTAATACACTAAATGAAATCTTTGTGTTCAGAAAAAAATTGTATTTTTACAGCTTTTTCGCAAATGGCAACCAAAACATTTTGTTGTAAGTGTCAAAATACTTACCCCAGCTTGTGATGTGGAATTTGCGGCCGATTGTAGACCCTGTAGCAAATTTTCAGCCATAACGTGCCCAAAACTCAACGCAGTAGAAATTCAAGGTATTCCTCATGGAAGTAGTTCACATTGTAAATTCACTCACTGATTAACTTGGTGGGAGGAAAAATTCACCACGATTTTATTCAAACCCTCAAAGGTTAAAGAATTTAAACGGCCTCGGCACTAACACTTCACATTTCGAAGATATTCTACGATCAAAACACACATCGCTTACACACATGTACGAGACCACGTTGCATCACTCTACCCCGGTTAGGACCGTTATCAATTAGGATTACTGTACATCCCGAAAAATGAGCCTTTTCACCACTTAGTCCCCATCAATGCAATATCATGCTTTCAAAACACAGCCAAAACGCTACAAATATTTTAGTTGCATCTTGATATCAAAATACATGATTTTCAAACTTAATCACGCTTACAACTACCGATGAAAATGTCACAAAGAAACTTTTTTGATGCTGAGGATCCAAATTACCACATTTACTTCAGCTCTTACAAAATTTGCGCCAACGTTGAAGCGAGGGAATGATCTTTTGAGCAGGCGCAGTACACTGGGTCGTGATCTTCCGTGCTGTGTGCTCCCTTATCCAGTGAAGTTCTCGAGCTTGGTTACTTCTCCAGCCTCAGTTTTTCTTCACATAAGGAATTTTTAAGCATGGATGAAGAATATGATTGTATCGTTCTTGGTACAGGCCTCAAGGTTAGTGCTTAAACATCTCGAAAGTCAGGAAATTTACTTCGTGATGTGGCCCCTCAAGTCAGGGATTGAGTTTCACACACCCATTTCCTACCATAATCTGTGTGATATTCGTTGTAAAATTGACATTTTGCCGGTAAGGATTTATCAGAAGATGTTTCCTTAAAACTATCGGTACTAAGGCAAATTTGGAATTTGCTTACGGTACTGTATCTCGAGAACTTCCTTGGGAATACTTTGAATTGAAGTCAACAAATGCTCGATTGGACATGAAACACAAGATTTGCAACTTTGAAACGATCAAGCAAAAGTGCGAATGATTTCTGATCGTGATCTCAGTTTTGCGGCAGTTCTTTCCGTCGTATTTACTCAATAACTGTACGCTTAAAATTTCTTTTCTTTATGTATATTCGAAAATCAGTCTAACGTCGACAAATACTACAACACAGTTGCTCTTGCATTTCCTCTTTTCTATTCAGCCATTGTTTAATAAACATCACACATGTCTTTGAAAAACTGAATCATCAATGTAATTTTAATTCATAATTTTGGACTTGTTAACATTTGAACACCTTTGAAAGTTTGTGTAGGTCACAAAGGAACTGTAATACTCAATTTTTAAAGGATTGAAGTGATTCCAGAATGTTAATTTAAAATGGTTTTTGTTACATCCAAAAATCCCTTATGACATACTTAACCCTTCCCTAAAAGGCTGGTGGTGTAATCTTAACCTCTTTCATGTTAAAAATCCTGATAGTCACATCGTAACTACTTATTCTATAAAGGACTGTTCTCCTAGTCCACCCTCTATTAACCCTTTAAATCCCATGAGTGACCAATGCAAGATGGAATTTCTCCTTACAATATCAAATGAATACAGTGACAAGTAGACAAGTAATAAAAGTAACAAAATATATCATTTTAGTCTGGATGCAATAGTAAATTAAATCTCGCCTGCCCTTGTTTTAATCGTGAAACTGAGACAACCCAAGCAGCCTATTGTATTTTAACCTGACCCATGTGGCATATTTTATTTATATAGTTTTTAGCTTGCATTCTTATAGACCTGTTTATAATCCTCAAATTCGTTTTACATACATTTTAATTCTAATCATGGTACTTTTAGGATCGAGGGCCACTAGTTCATCAGTTGAATTACTGTCGTGTGTTACCAAGGCTGTGCTCTAGCGGCGCCCGGTCGCCTCAGGTGACTAACATTTGGTCCCGGGTGACTGAAAAAATATTCCAGTCGCCCAGCCAGGCACTCGCCCTCTTGTGCAGCATTCGTCTCTATGGTAAATCTGGTGATTGACAGCTACATTTTTATTTGGTGATTTATAGGCGTTACTAGCAGAAAAAAATATTCTTTTGTGCGACACGTAGTTGAATTGTTCACGTTCGAAGATTTCGAAGTAAGTGTCATGTTTCGTTTTACACGATTTTGCACGAACCCAAATAATAATTATTGAAACAGGAGATCCTGCCACTTTACACATGGTAAACCGCACGGATATTGCAAAGATATGCATTGAACACCGCGATTTTCCTTCAGATGGTCTGATTTATTTCAGTGTTTCGATGGATTTGGAAAGTGTAGGGTGTTTATCTTTCTTTCAAACCAAGATTCTTTCTATATGCAAATTTCCGGCAAGGCAGCTTTGTTTGTAGGTGTTTATCAATCATTGTGATAAATGACTTGCAATTACTTTAGGAAGATTTAGCGAGAACTGAGCTTATAACGATTTCATACTTAGACTTGTCTACTTGGTGCTTTCGAATGAAAGTTCTAAGCGGTTTTAAAATATCCAAAGAAACACAAATGCCATTTTGAAAAATAACACAAGCTCGCCACTAAAAATAGCAACACACCCTGTCGCGTGGTGTGGAAGTTTTAATTTTCAGAAAAAGATTTAAAATGTAGCTATTCCATGATCCCACAGCTTTGCAGCAAGTGTTGGAAAAAAATAAAAACGTTTCACTTTCAAAACGCCACAATTTAGTAGAGAATACCTTTCCTGATGGCTCTCATGGCCAGACTAGCAACTCTATTTTTAATTGTACCGGTAGATATCCAGTCAATTTTTCGTCGACTTTCTGAAAATTTCAGCTCTCCACAGTTAGTCAGTTGCAACATGTACCGCTTTTTCATTTTCCCCCTCACTTCTTTTACAAAAAATGGACGAACAAGTAAATTTTTACAGAAAATCCCTTAATACGTGAGGTTTTTTACTTTGGTCATTTGGCTTATTGCTTTACATAAAATCGGCGTGCTTCACAGATGACTCAAGCTGTAAAATGGTGATCTTAAAGATCGCTAACACTGTGAAAAAATATTAGGAGATGAATCCATTAACTGGGAGTCAAACTCGTTTGTGCTGAAAAGGAGCCAGAAGTTATCCGACAGTGTATTATATAAAATTATTGTAAACAGCAGCACCAAAAGTTGAATGCTTTCTAAACAGCTTGAATTACTGAAGTTAATGGTTTGATTAAAATAATATTAACTGATTAAAACATGAAGTAAATTAATTATAAATTATTAATTGCTTGGTTTGGGTGACTAACTTGGAGGGCTGGGCACCCTAGCTGGATTGGTTAGGAGCCCAAAGGGCTCCCTAAAAATTTTCTTAGACCACAGCCTTGGTTATCCTCCTTAAATAAAGTTGTCATTATTATTATTACTATTATTGATTAGTAGATTTTTAGGTGATACAATACCAAATTCTCTGAACAAACACCATAAGAATTGTATGACAGTACAGAGAATTACTAAGAAGATCTTGGGAGGGAAAGGACAAAGAAAGCTACCAATTGCAACATTCTTGATTATATTTTATGAAGTGATATCATTAACATCATTGTTATCACTACATGTATAGTCATTATTGTTATTTTTTGGTGTGGGGAATGCATAGAAAAGGAAAATATTTTTCACAAATGCCTTAAATTTTGAATACAATTAAGTCAACAAACCCCTTGGTTAACGTCGTGTACCCATTAACTACAACTGTGTATGGTGAAATTTGCATTTAATAGGAGTGCATATTGAGTGGATTTTTGTCAGTGAATAAAAAAAAGATCCTTCACATGGACAAGAATCAATATTATGGTGGGGAGAGTGCTTCAATCACACCACTGGAAAAGGTACAGTCCTATTTGCTTTTAAATTCAGTGATCCAATCTGGATTTCTCTAAATCTCTGAAAATTTGATCCTAAATCTAACAATCCACCAGTTTATCTTTTCAGTTATTAACATCCCTCTTCTTCTTGAAAAAGGAGGGAGACATGGGGGCTCTGAGTAGCACAACACAGCAAACAAAATAGAACAAACACTGCATCACTGCAAGAACTATTATCAACACACTGACGCTGCATTATTTTAAAATAGTCTCAGGATTTACTTGGTCTGGTTTCACTCATCTTTACCACTCCCTGGTCTTTGGTTGGCCAATAATGCGAGTGCTAGAGGTCCAGAGGTCAAGTAAACTATAAATGAACATGGCCTGGGGTCAATCAGCTAATGTTTATGAAAGATTAACTCAAATGTATTTTATTGTATAGATACTGATGAAATACCAGGATTTGTCCTTTTCCTAAAAAATCATAACTCACCGCGCGCAGTGAAGATACTATTTTTATCTTTCACGTGTGAGGATATTGGTGTGGCCATGGTTACCAACATAATTACCCAATTGCTGTTTCGAAAATGAATAAAAAAAGTTGTCTTTTATGTGAAAATTTCATCAGTATCTATATAATAAACAGAACATTACATGGCGGCTTCTCGTGCTGAAAGTGTCTCACGAGTGAGCGCAGCGAACTCGTGAGAGATACTTTCAGCACGAGAAGATAAAATTCATATCCCAGGCGGCCATGTAATATCCTCTATCTCTTGATCTAACACTGAATTCTCATAACTAATTTAAAAGCAAATGTGTAACAGCCAGTGAGGAGAATTAATTATCTGATATTGGGAGTTAAAGGATTACATTTTGGTTGCTTGTTCTTTTTAGTTCTACGAGCTGTTTGGTAGGACACCGAAACAATTAGGATCATCCAAAGATTGGAATATTGACCTCATTCCCAAGTTCTTGATGGCACAAGGTATGTATCTGTGTACACGTAGCTTATGTGAAGACAAAATGATTGACTAAATGTAGATATTCCTGCAGTACTACAAGAAAGGATTTTCTTGAAGGCCTATTCTCACTTTTGGTTGAGTAAACAGATCGATGTTAGTATCTGAGCAATTGTGTACCAACCCCTCCCTTACCCAACTACAGTCAACTGATAACAAGTTATTATTACACAACTCGGGCAGTCAGAGGGCCAATAACTAAAATCAACCAATCAAAATGCTCTATTGCCGGTCAATATTCTCTCAGTATTGGACCGGGCACTGTCCTGAATGGTCCTGAATGATACCGCACTTGTGTCCCTTTGAACTTCAGCCATATAATAAATCTCTTATTAACCAAGCTTGCTCGGGACCGTACTGGAAGAATATCGGCCCTCGGTCTTTTTTGTACGAACCGAGCTGTGCTCAGTCCGTACTGTCAAGACCTCGGGCCAATATTCTCCCAGTACGGCCCTCGCGCTAGGTTAATAAGATATATATATAATGTATCTTATAGCTTTTTGTTATGTAGTAATGCTGAGTATTTTTAACGAGTTGTGCCAAAATACAAATAACAAGTAAAAATACTCAGCATAAGACATGCCAAAACATCTTACAAGATACTTATTATCCAACATGCCAAATTGTTATTTCAGTGTGGGCAAATTTTGCAAATATTTATTAACTGGGAGTGCATGACAGAAGTATGCGAATGGGAATTAGCACTGTTTCTATTTTCTTCAATAGTTGATGAAATTTCATTGTCATCTAACTGTTTTTCTTAGTTGTATTTATCTAATAAACTTGGATCAATATTCGCCAGCCATTCCGTTTCATTGTCATCAGAAAAATGATTTCAATTGTCCGCCATGTTTTTTTTGTAACTTCAATCCAATTTATCTCTCGCGCAATGCAAGAAAACCTGTCTAACCAGTTCTCTGGAGTACAAATATCAAGTGATATTTTCACTTGTCTTGGGCATTTTTATTGTACTCTCGAGTGTAGTTGGATATTAAGGGTCACTGATGTTGGGTTAGGCAAGGGGTCGCTGTGCAGTTGCTCAGATACCAACACTGATCCAAGTAAACTATACAGTGGTTGCCAAATGTAGGATATTTGGTTGTCAGAAAAAAAAAATATGATAAAATTGATGGAAATAAATGATTATATAGATAAGTAAATGAATGAAATTAAAAAGAAAGGAAAAAATAGAATGGTTGCACAACTTAATTCATAGTTAGATGTGGACAGGAGGTCTTGCGGCCTAATACTCAAACAATCAAGGTGAAGGAGGTATATTTCAGGGTGTTTTTACACGTGAGCAGTAAGAAGTTACATTGCACACGCATGCAATAGTGTATGTGCCAAATGTCAACTTTTGTTCACCAAACACAGCTTGCCAATTTAATGACTTGGCTTCAAGTTTGGTCACTATGCTTTTCTTCTCACACTGCCTTCCAAAACCATTACAATGAAGCACTGTGACATGTAGTATGAAAAGTCATGTTGGAGTAATTGCAGTTATTAACTTACGAGTGTTTCACTTACAACCAGTTTGCTAACATCTTGCATCATTTCACCAATGTCTCAAGTCAGTTTGCTAACCTCTTATAGGTCATCTTGCTAATGTTTCAGGTTATTTTACTTGCATCTCATTTTAGTTTTGTCTCTTCAAAGTAGCGTCAAATGAAATATTGTACTATTACCATCTGCAAGATCAGTTTCAACTGATTGCTGTTGGCAGTATAGAATGATTGAATGATTAAATCCTGTTCTTAGGTGAACTGGTTAAGTATTTGATTGATAGTGGAGTTACCCGCTACCTTGAATTCAAACAAGTTGAGGGAAGCTATGTGTACAAGGATAAAAAGCTTTTCAAAGTACCAGCAGATGAAAAAGAGGCCCTTGCAACCAGCCTCATGGGAATCTTTGAGAAAAGAAAATTTAGAAAGTTTCTATTGTTTGCCAATGACTTTGAACCAGATGATCCCTCGACATGGCAAGGTATGGTAAACATTTTTTTCTTTTTTTAATTTTATTTGTTACTTTCAAACTAAGCCCTACTTGCATGTGACCACACTGTTTCCCAATGGTACTTATATACTACAGAGGAGGATAAGCATTTCAGAATAATTTCAGGATGGCATATGAAGAAACAAAGCTTTACCTCATAGAAATGTCTGAAAAGGGTTAATTGGCACACTATGAAAACTTAGAGGACATTATTTTTTTTCCTTTGAAGACAGAACATTTTACTTTTTGAATCAGCGAATTATTCCCAGTAGATCCAGGCAGGTCAAAATTAATATGGTACAACTGTAACCGGACATTTCACACACAAGACTTTTTGCACAAGTCTTTTTGCACAAGTTTTGGACCATTCGCACAACTATTAGTAGTCATTTCACACAATAATTGTAAGTGAGAAATATCGACTTGAAAGGTATACGGATTGATACCAATCAGATATGTCACCTTCACATGTCACTTTCATCAAGATCCAACGGCGAGAACGTCGATATTTATTTACATAATAACGTCAACTTCAACCAGATCAAAACGCTCGTGAACACAATCACTATGGTATTATCCATGTATAAGTTGACCCTTTATGACTGAAAAATTGGCCCAAAAAATCACTCTTGACTTATACATGGATCATAGACAAAGACCTGACCCAAGCAATCCAAGGAATTAGCATAATAATTGCCTGAAGTCCATGAGGAAAACTGAGTTTACAAAACCAGTTCTAGTTTCATCAGTTTTCAGAGCATCCTTCATCAACGAAAAAATTTGAAATAACAAATTTTATGTGGATTAAACAGAAAACTAGTGGGGCTGATTTCTATTGTATCTTCTGATCTTTAGAGCAGACATTTTTCCTTACAGCTTCGCTGCTCTTTTTGGTGCTGAATTCTCGTTTTCATTGAGCAATTACAGTAGTTTAGTGACCTGGCAAATGCTGTTTTCTCGCGCAGTCTTGTTTGTTACACGTGTGGACCAATTATGTTATTGTGTAGTTTCCAAGATGGCAGTGAGTTTTCATCAAGCGATCCTTGGAAGCTCTTCGGTGTTCCTTCGGTCTACTAAATCTCCTTTCAAAAGGTTATTTAAATGCATGAAGATTTCATTTTCGAAACCATTTACAAAATATGGTAAATTACTTCTCCAGTAAATCGAAGTACTTGTATATGCTTAAATCGTGAATCGTGGTAATGTAAATGAGTGTTACTAAACTTCACAGCACACTGTTACATTTTGCTCAGCAGTTTTTTTTTTATTCACAGTGTTTTCAATACATTCTCAGAAATTAGAGATCAGGCATTAGGGTAATTTCTATCAGTCTGAATTTTTGTTTACTAGAATATATGAAAAATCCAATTTTGACCTTGAAAATGGGGGTCGACTTATACAAGGATAAATACGGTATTCTTATTTGAAGAAAGGAACAAATCTTTCTCTCTTTGAAATGAGGCTAAATGAAATTTAGGCAAGGTTTAAATCGAGGCACGATGGTCAGCGGAGGACATGCTGTGGGGCACCCCCTTTGCAGGGTCACAAGGTTTTCAGTACATTTTGAGATCGTCGCGGATCTTAATGTGAGCCACCTCTTGCGCTCCCACCCTCCCTCCTCTATGGCAAGTCAAGAGCAAGTAAGTATAAAACAATTCCACTGACTTGTCAGTGTGACTGGTGCCAGGAGGGTGGACCGAGGTTGTGTCACCATGGTAACCTCCCTGCTGTGGGCAGCCAGCGCGACTGCCACAGTGTTACAGCATCTTCCCCCAAGCTCCTCAGTGCCAATGAGTTTAAAGTGTAAAGAACTCTATATTCGTCTATCACTTTTCCTTTGTTAAATGAAAAAGTTTTTAGTTTTGACAGTACATCATCCACTTCAAACATATAAACATCGACAACCCGTGCTAAGGACGCCATGTTGATTTCGAAAGTGATTGTCACCAGTCTTCTGTTCGATCGTCTTCAAACTGAATGTTTCATTGATCTCTAAGAGTTTCAAATAAGCTTTTGAAAACTTGCTTCTTACATCTTCGTTACATAATGATGATTAGGTATACCGGTAATACATACAGCTAAAACAATTCAATGTTAATAACTTGTTGTTCAGGGAGTGCTTCACATCAAGTGTTGGCTCGTGCTAGTGTTGAGATTTGATAACTTGAACGTGTCAGTGTAGGTAGAAACTAGTGGTCTTGTAGAAAGCCAAGTTCAATTTGTAATCTGGTTGAAGATCGTAAAGTCAAGTAGTAACCTTTCAAATTATTACAATAACAATTCCTTAAGCGATGGAGAGTTCAGTATCGATTGATAATCATCATGGCAACCATGATAATTAGAAACAAATTATTTCACAAAAGTTTCAAGAATTCAAAATAATTTAAAACTCATTATCGAACATTAACATGACCGAGAACAAAGGAAAATAAAATTTGAACCAAGGATAAAATTGAACTACAACATATACACTAGCCGTTTGATAAGTAATCATTTAAGCCTAAGATCAAAACAAATAAAGAAATCTAGATGTACTATAACTTAAATGTATGTAGGAAATGGCTAAATTTCTACAAGTCTTTACCGAGTAGCGAGTTAAAATATGCATGACTAGTCCGGTAACATGGCCACTATATGGCTGAGATTTGGGTATAATGGTTTATAAGAGTTCATAAATTTCATCCAAAATGCAAAGAAAAGCAATATCTAGTGTGTAACAACTATATTACAGCATTCATACAAGAATTTTGTAAATGTGTCTGTAGTACTTTTTCAATAGAAAGTGAAACAGTTAGCACATTTTTACATTGACTTTAGAGGAGGGAGGACTGGTGACAGTTACTTTCAAAATCAACATGGCGTCCTTAGCGTGGATTGTCGATGTTTGCATGTTTGTAGTGAATGATGTACTGTAATAGCTAAAAAGTTTTTTGTTTAACAGAAAAGGAATAGAAGCAATCATTCAAATCAGGAGTTCTTTACATTTTCATAGAGAGAAAGATTTGTAAGAATATAGTGATCATGTTAACAAGCATTTCGATCTAGTTGAAGTTATTACGTAAAAAAAATAGCTACCTCCTTGTCATTGTATGGTATTAAAAGTGACATGTGAAGGTGTAATATCTTATCAGTATCCATTAGAGTACCTTTTATAATTATTGATGTTTCTCTCATAATTATTGTGCAAAATAACCATTAAGAATTGTGCAAACGATCCAAAACTTGTCCTAAAAGACTTCTGCGAAATGTCCTGTATTTGGTACAACTCATTAAAATACTCAGCAATACTTCACACCAAAACATCTCATAAGATTATGTATTTATTCCTAACTTGAATTGAATTTTCCCTGCTGGTTGTTTTCTTCACAATTTACCCTCACCTCAAATGTGACCTCTCACGCAAAAACGTTCCGAATGGTTAGCCATAATTTATTTAAACATCATCAGCCTTTCTAATGGATTGGCATGCTGTTCAAACACCAAGCTATCCGTTCTAAAATATCCATCATCCGTTCGAACAGCTCGAGCTATCCATTAAAGAAAATTCATCAGCCATTCGAATGGTTAGTGCTAGCCGTTCTAAAAAATTCATCATGCATTCGAATGCCTCGAGCTATCCGTTCTAAAAATTCATCATCCGTTCTAACGGTTCAAGCTATCCGTTCAAGAAAATTCATCAGCGTTCAAACAACTTGAGCTATCAGCTCAAGAAAGAAACAATAACACCAGTTTAATTTTTGGCAGCCATTCCAATAAGACAAGACTTCAAAACAATTCACCACGCTTCCTTAAATGTAGCATGTCGCCATGTTTACATTAGACAAACAGTAGTTACGTTTTTATTCTTCATTTCCTTCGAAAGGTTCTCTGTTCGAACAGCTAGAGCTATCTGTTCAAGAAAGAAACAATCAGTTATTTTGGCTGCTGTACCAACACATGACAAGACTTCAAAACTTTGTAAAATCAAGCATGCTGTAATCTTTACATTAGACAAACAGTCATCAGCAGTGGTTACGTTTTTGTTCTTCATCAAAAGTGGGCGAGGTTTTGCTAGAACACTCGTGAAAGTGTTCGGCCTCACCCATTCGAAAATTTTAATTAGCTGTTCATCCGTTCACAGTATCCGTTGAAAACAGCTTGCCTAGCCGTTCATCACCTGCTCGCTTGCCGTTCCGTTTATTCACCGTTCGAACCGCTACCATACGGAATGTTATCGCATGAGAGGTCACAAATCCCTTTGTCAAAAACAGAATTCGTTTAAGATCTTTTGTTATGGTTTGTCAGTTGAATATCTTTCCATTAAAGTATTTCAATAACTGGGCTGTCTCTCTTCCTTAGGAGTTGATCCAGAAAAGACCCCAATGAAGGAGGTGTTCGCAAAATTTGGTTTGGATGCAAACACTCAGAGCTTCACAGGACATGCCTTAGCTCTTCATCTTAATGATTGGTAAGTGTTGAATACACAATGGTATAATGAGTATTTTACTTGTAGCTTTAGAAGCCCTGCCATCTGCACTATTATTACTTGCTTGAACAGCAGTGTTTTATGTCAATTACATGTTCATGTTATTCCCTCAACAGAGCTCGATACTAACTTTTCAACTTACTAGCCAAGTGGCTATTGACATCTTAGATGTTTTTAGATGTTACGACAGTTTCAGTTTGTTTACTTGCCAAACTGGCCAGTGGAAATTTGAAAACCACTAGCCAAAACTGAATTTCTACTAGTTTGTGGCTAGTGGGCTACTGTTACTGTCGAGCCCTGCCTTCACCCTTCATTCCCAAGATCTCATATTATAAATAATAATAATAATAACTTTTATTTATATAGTGCTCATATCCTGAGCTCATGGCACTTTACAACACTGTGCGGGGGACTTTACCAGACTGCTAAGCAGTTTACAATCAATGAAAGGCGAATCTAACAGATGCCCCCTTCCCTCAATTCCCAGTAAACAGGCCAGACCACATCACAGCAATCTCGTGAGTGGGTCATTTAATGTCCCCTGCCTAACCAAATTGAATACACAGTGGTTTTGTAGTAATTCTCATTAATACAGTCAACGATACAATTCTTATGATGCTGGCTTAAAGAAATTGGTATTGAATCAATGGTTGTCTCCATCTGTAAGTTCCATGTGGTAACCGAATGCAAATTTTCAGTGAAATTATCTTTTGTCATGGGCACAGTTCATATTTTGTTCAGTTCCCCTGTTTTCACAGGGATTATTACTGCAACAAAATTTCACTCTTTCAATTCCAAAATCTCATTAGTAATTCTCCTTAGTGTCTGCCATACAATTCTTATTATGTTGGCCGGCTCAGAGAATTTGATATCAGATCAATTAATAATCCCCTATTTGGTATTTTTCTTTATTATCTTCACTTGCCTGCTTAATATTGTATTGATATTGTAAGGAGAAATTCTATGTTGGTCACTCATGGGAGTTAAAGAGTTTTATTAACTCACCTAATTTTTACTTCCAGTTATGTGGAAGAACCTTGCAAGGAGACTTTGATGAAGATCAAGTTGTACAGGTTAGTATGTATACATGTAGCTCTTGACCCTTTACTTGAAATCAGTATGCATGATCTCCATACTGTTCTCAATACATTCCCTAAGGTGCTGACGAGGAGAATTTGTTTGACAATCAAAAGCTCCTTTCACCCAGCATTCGGGAACCTCCGGTCGCCAAGCCCCGGAGTGGTTGGGTGGTTCCCGCTTGCTGGGTTGCCATGGAGACATGCCTGTTGTGCCTGGAATTCCCCGGGCTCCTTCCCTGCTAACTTTTACGGCACCAGCTTTCCCAAGCTCATCAATTAGCGACGAGTTTAACTGGTGATCATTTCCTTTCTTCTCATGACCTTAATGTTTGATTCAGGGGTGATATTGTAAGGAGAAACCTACTACAGGAGTTTAATGTTCACTGAGATATTTTTCAAAATTCAAGTTTGTTTCATAGAAGA